TTTGAACTGTGCGCACAGCTGTCAACTGCTGCAAAAGTATTTTTTAAATGTGCTTTTTATAAAATATTAAACAGCAAAGTTCCTTCAAAGTTGTTTTTTTTTTCACAATAAACAATGTTGTACTTTATATTGCATATATTGAAGACAAAGCACTGTATATATAGACAGAAAGCGAGCAAGAGAAAGAGCAACACAAAGCAGAGGTTTTTATGTATGTGTATATATGACTGTTTTGACAGAATCAACACTTCAAAGCGGAGCATCACAGTCATCCCAAGGTCAGTTCAAAGCAAATAAAAGGCACACTCGGCAGTGTGAAGATATGTGCATGCGACTACAGCATACTACATTAAACATACACAAGCCAGAGAGTCAACACTCAACCCAGGGTTTAGCTTTAGAGGACAAACCCCCGCGAATGTCAATAGACGACTTGAAAACAGCAGTCTGCACCAGACAGCTCTGCATTTGGCCGGCGCTGGATGTGCCTAATTGTGAATACAGATCTAAGACGTGCTCTTTAAAATGATCGATCAGAACGCCATTAGAAGAGCCCTTAGAAGCTTTGCTTTGCATATCTCTCTTATTATTTTGTTATTATAACCTCGTTTAAAAAAATAATATGATGTGGTATTCAATCTCATCCTGAATCCCGGATGCTTTCATAACATTTGCGAATTCTTCGTTAGCCTTTTGCTTGGTTTAAAACAGCCATTGCTTGCATAATTATCCTGGCTGTTTTAATGAGTTTTCCACTGGCTTGAAGCGGTAATTGGATTTTTCTTGGAGCAATCTTGTTAAATGCATAAAATCGTATATTTAATGTAGAGAGGAAATCGATGGCGAAGTGAGTGTCGTTGGCAGCGCTCGTGCCGTTGTGTACATACAACGAGCGCCGCTGAGGAGAAGCAGGCAATATATTGACACGCACACTAACATCTCGTTACTGTAATGAAAGCTGTAAATCCAAAGCGTGAGCTTTATAAGTGTTTCATGGGAACCGTATAAGCAAGAATCGGGTATTCTGTTGTGTTAGGGAGACTTTATTAATGTTGTTAATTTTCTAAATGGACCGCAATTTTTCACGGAAAGCCTGAAGCCGTCATATTTTAGTCAAACAAGAACGGACATTTCCAATCAAGATTGCTGAGCTCTTGTCTCTGACATTTATGTCTGTCAAACTGATTTAAAATCTGTGAGGGCAGTGAAAGTGCGGGCCCGAGTCTTTGATACCTGTACATGACTTTCTTCCAAAAAAAAATGCTGTAGGCTACATATTCTGACAGTATGCAGACACTGCTATGGTTCATGGCTGCCATAGCTAAAGCCCATAGAGTGCAGCAGTCAGGTTCTAGAAGTAAAAATCCCATTTATTTTATCAATAGGGGAATTGATTTTGAAAGTTAACTTGTAAATCATTAACAACAGACCTACTGTGAGCTACAAGATGGTTACTTGATGGTATAGTCTCTTGTTGAAACCATCAGTCCACATTATTTCAACTTCTTTTTTAAATAGTCATATTCAACAGAGAAATTCCTGGTGAAATACTGCATTACCCAAGAAATCTCCATTAATCAGACAACTGCAAAAAATAAATCACACCATAAGAACACTTTAACACCCACAAGCACTGCAAATGATGCAGTGTAAATGATTTTCCCCACACTCTCAAAATACATGCTTATTTTACAATAAACATAAAATATATTGTTTCTATATATTATCAGCATGTTCAGTAGTTTTATTTCTCCATTGTTTTTAATTTGATTTTGTCATTCACAGCGCTTATTGGGGTTGTAGTATTTCCTTCCATTAAGGACAGACTTGTCTTTTTGTTCAATTTCAAATACCTTTTTTTGTTTTGCTTCAAATCAAAGTTTGCAATGTTGTGATTAACTTTGAAGCTGTTTTTAGTTCATGTCCTATAACTCTTAAACACTTTTTTTTTTAAATTCCTATGGGAAAAATGCTTCCATGTCTGTCAGTATCCTCACTCAAACTTCCCGTTTCATATGAAAAACATCACTGTGCTCGTCAAAGCAATTTAATGGTGCCATTTCAAAACTACTTGTTAGATCATGCTAATCAACTGAGGAGAAAGTAAGGACTACTTCTGTGGTGTTAAACTAATTTTATAAGTCATATTAATTCCAAGTAATCAGCCACTAGACTGGATTTATCATTATCACACTTTTAAATCACTCAGCAACTGAGCAGCTGAAATGACCTCGCGCTGTACTCTCATTGAAACAATATGAATTATTTTATTAAAAATTATAAATACAAATTGAAGAGGTTTCCTTTACAAACATGAATATGTCCCTCTGTACACCGTCTTTGAGAAGAAGCTGTTGAATATCAGGGCATTGATTGTCTGCCACAATAAAGATAAGCCTTCTCCTCTGTTCCGACAGGACAGACCACTTAGACATCCAGGCATTCACTCTCAGCCTGACACTGAGTTCACATTACTTAATGAAAAAAAATATATGAAGCCATTAAGAAAAGACATAACTCAATGTGAAGTAAATAAAAAAGAAACAGGACAGGATGAGCACACTTTCTATTCAGAGCTGTTCTTATAATTATTCTGAATAAATTATGAATGTCTGCTTGAGATCTCGAAACGGCGAATGAATGATTTTTCTTTTCAGTACGTTTTATTAAGCTCCACCAGCCACTTGTAACAAGCCCAGCATTCCTCTCATGTGCCTTATGAGATCATTTCCAAATAATGACCGTAATCCCGAATCAAACAGCGACCAGTTCGGAAAAGTAAACAGAATCAAACTCATGAAAAGAAAAAGGCGACATTGATTTTCAATCCCTTTGATATATGTGTTATAGAGTCTCATGTCTGTAAAGAGAACAATGATGGGGTGACCCTATCCTCCTTTGTTTGCATTATCTGCTCGCTGCAGTGACTTGCTTAATTAAAACTGTATTTATTATTACTTAGTGCCAAGTTAAACGAGATTTCAATTGCCCTTTTAGTTTTCATTTAGCGAGCCAGTTAACAAATAATTGCATTTGCTTTCTGATAGCAGCTTCCCTCTAATGATCACAGACAGTATTCTCAGTCTTTATTACCCTTAGTCAGATAATCAAACAAAATGACAAGTTATCGCTTGCATTGAAAGCCAAATCCATTATTGACGGCATAAAATGATCACTTTATAATCATCCGGACTGGACAAAAGACAATATATCCAATTGAATTCAAACTGAATTTATATCTCTGGCTTTGATAGGCACAACAACAGTTGATACTGAGCATGTGAACAAAGTGACAAATTGAAAGCGTGTATTGCTTGGACACTGAGTTTCAATCTCCAAATGCTTATGCCATCTGAAAAATAGTTTACAGCATCTATCCGAATGCCAGAATTTGTTGGGGAAGAAACCAAAATGGAACATGTTTCATGACTCAGACAAGATCACAGCTATCTCACACTGCGATCGCGGAGGCCAGGCTGCAACAGGCATTCGTGGAAAAACTGCCATCTTAACAAGTCAAGCTGTGTTCGAGTCCGACAGCGAGACTAGGCTCAGTTTGAACGCACTCGTTGGAGGGATCTAACTAGCCTGGGCGAGACAATTTATAGGCTAAGCTTCGTGTCCGACCGTGTCGTCGCACACCCAGTCTTCCTGCTCTTAGACGTGCGATCGTATTTCTGGATGTATGCTTGCGTTCACTAACTGAATCATCAATCTCCTTTCTCTGAGGCTAATTTAGCCGAGGCCTTTTAAATGCTCTGACAAGCCTTGTGTCATTCATCAAACTCAAGGCTCCGTTGGCTCTCTCGTCTAGCCTTGATTACACATCATGTCTGTGTGCAAACCACCCTGTTCCACAAACAAAAGCAGCCAATTTAGCAGTGAGATCTCCACATCAAAATATGCACCACCGTCTGGCTGTCCGAATGAATGAATGAATGAACGCAGTCATGAGGAAATGGCCACACCGTGTGCTGCAATTTGTGTACTTTATTACAAAAATCTGTACAAAATGTCTTCCCAGCTTTAGGACTGAGCATGTGTTACTGTCATTTCATATCGTTACAATTCGAAATCATGAAAATAACCTGTCGGAGAACAGCTAAACATTGAATATACTGTAGTAGTAGTAAGGTCTGTGTTGTCCGTATGTTATACACCATTTCACACGTCGCCAGATATTATTTAGGATAATGTCTTTACATTCTTTTTTCCCTTCAGTTTGCGACTCATATCGACAACAGGCCTGCTTTAAAACAAACAGCTCTCACAAGATATTCAGCAAGAACCACTGCGGAAAAAAAACTGTACACGGGACAGCATAGAGCACTACAAAAACATTTAGCCGCTTTGAGTTTCTCAACTGAGACTGAGGTTTTCGAGAAAGGAATAGGCTTAATACAAAAGACTCCCCTTCAAACGCTCGCTGTCATAAGGGTTCTCTCTACAAACTTACAAAATAACATCTCAAAATAACTCAGGTTGACAGCCTCAACTGAAAGGCAAGTACTATACATTTTCAATGATTAAATCCACTCCGGCCTGTCCTGCTCGATACATCAAAGTCTATTCGCTACAAGTTTGACTTGTATTTTGGTCGGCATAACTGCAGGACACTTCAGAGGTTGTGATAGCGATGCGTCTTGAGCCAAATTTTGGCGTGGAACTAAGGCCTGATAACAGATGTGAAGCTATGGGTAAAGGATATTTTACAAAGCTACAGTTGCGGTTCCTTGCTAGGCAATGCGTTTGGAAAGGATAGCGGTTGTTGAATTCATATAGATTTTTTTCGAAGAATCTATCAGTCATAGAAACATCTGATAGAACAGAAACATTGATCTTTCGAGCATCGCTGCTGTATGGCTAGCTGGATGGCACTGTTCTCATTTATAACCATGGGGAGAGCACTTCGAATGTCTCTTCGAAACAATTGGTATTCCTGGACCAGTTCACATGGACCTGCGGTCCACTGTCCATTATTCTCTTGGGCCTGAAGATTACTCTTTGGGAGCTTGCAACCACACCCCAAGTCCAGTCTTGACATCTAACTGCAATTTAAATAGAAGTGCTTCCGACTCGAATCCCCACCGTCAGTTGGCTATCAAAACTGCTGCTCTCTGCAGATATAACTCCCCCTCCGTACTGAATGTTCCCCTTTTTTGCTCCCCTCTTCTGTCAAGCATCAATGAGTCAGTGGTATTCTCTTGATCATTGTTCATTTCCATTATGCCCTTGATTGAGCAGACCTTGGCAGGAATTTTAATCCCGGCTAGGAGGAGAATATATTGCTGCTGTCGCCGTGGCCGTACAGGTCGGCTAGCTTCCTGAAGCGAGGTCCCCAGTCGCTCAGATAATCATAGTTCTGCTCTGAGTCTGAGCTCAGGGAGTCTAGGGAGCTGAGGGATTCGGCCACCGAGCCGCTGCCCTCGAAAGCGTATGTCTGCAGGGAGTCGTAGGGAGGTGCGGAAGGATCGACGTCGGCATCCTTCAGGCGGTCCCATATAAACTCCCGGAAGATCCCGTTGTCTGGGGTGATTTTGTAAGGTGGAGGGCGGGAGCAATAAAGGGTGGGCACCTCCGGGGTGACGTCTCGGCGGGCTTTGCTGTCTCTCACTACATTGAGGTTTCGCAAGGCCACCATGTCAAAGGCCTCTGTGTCTTCCTCGCCTCCACCTTCGTCGTCGTAGCGCACAATGTTTTCCCGCACGTCCCGGTCTTCGTCCAAGATCAGAGGCTCCTTCTTCCTCCTCCTCATTGTCACAATCAGCAGCACCAGCACTGCAAAGACAAAAGAATCACATGCTGTTAGTAAGCAAACCAGAGCTATCATCAGTGACACGACATATTAGCATTATAATACTGTTCAAAGGTTTTTCGTTTAAAGAAATTAATACTTTTATTAAGCAGGGATACATTAAATTTGTCAAAAGTGATAGTCATTTATAATGTTAGTAAAGATTTGTATTTCAAATAAAAATGCTGTTCCTTCAAACTTTCTGTTCATCAAAGTATCCTGGAAATAAATATTATGATTTCCACAAGAATATTAACCAGCGCGGCAGTTTTCAACACTGATAATAATAAGAAATGTTTCTCGAACACTAAATCAGCATATTACTATGATTTCTGCTGAAAATCTATATGCAATATTTACATACAGTATGTTCATATACATATATTTTATGTCAGAAATATATCTTATTATATAATATATCAAAATTGAAAACAGCTTATTTAACTTAATAATATTTCATAATACAGCCTTTCTGAGCAGAAAGCGGACTCCAAACATTTGAACGGCAATGTACATATTACATTACATATGCATAGCCTACTATTTACTGTATACTCTTTTTTATAATAGTATATATAGTAAAATAGTGTGTGTGTGTGTGTGTGTACCGTTATATTATATAATTTATAATAACAGGCTTATGTAATATAATAACACACATATGGTTTATTGCATATAGTACAATTACTAATAGTATAAATAGTTTGTTTTTATTATTACTATTATATAAATTTATATACACACTGTAACAGTTTTATTTTTTTTAAAGTTGTAAATAAAACAAAGATTGTTTTATTGGTATTTCCAAATAGTATTTTACGAGAAAATATTATTTCAGTTTTGCTTCAAAATTTCATGTTTTATTCATATATTACTTACTACTTGCCTATTTATTTTACTATTTATTTATTTATTTATTTATTTATTTATTTTTCTTTTTAATAATAGAGATAGTAAGAGTGGATACTGGATAGATCAATTGGTATGTGGAATTACAAGTCAGATTTGAACTTGTGTCACTGAGAAAAAAAAAAAGAGAAAGAATTCAAGGCCACTTCTCTGACAGTGCATTTGTTCCTAGTTCCCCTTCAGGAACTCGAGCTGCGTCGAGTCGCTTTGGGGAACGCCCTTGCGTGACCGCGTTCTGAAGCACGTGTCAAATCAGTCCAATGGAGTAGCGAGACGTCACGAGAGGGGTGACGTAAGCACCAGAAAGTATAAAAGCGCATCC